TATTGTAGAGATGAGGTATCACCAAGTTGCCCAGGCTGTTCTCGAACCCATGGGCTCAAGCAATCCTCTCCCTTCAGCCTCCCAAAGTGCTGGGTACAGACTTGAGCCACCGCACGCAGGCTGCGCTCCTGTTTTTCTTCAACGTTCAGTTCAAGAGTCACCTTTTCCAGCAATCCTTCCCCAAGGGACTACGCACTTGCTGAGATAGGGATGGTCTTAGGACGCTTTTGTGACTTCATTTTATGAACCCAGGTAGCCGCTTCTAGGGAATTCATCAAGGATTCTGCCTATTGGTTCCAACCTCCCTCTGATCCCAGTAAGGGACTTTTGTTTGTTTTTCTTTTTTGGTGGACATCAACACGTCCCACTTTAATTTGCCCTTTGGGTCAGGCACAGTGGCTCATGCCTGTAATCTCGGCACTTTGGGAGGCTGAGGCTGGAGGATTGAACCCAGGAATTCAAGACCAGCCTGGACAACAAAGCAAGACCATGCTTTATAAAAAAAAATAGAAAAATTAACTGGGCATGGTGGTGCAGCTAAGGTGAGGAGGCTGAGGTGGAAGGACTGCCTGAGTCCAGGAGGTCTAGGTTGCAGTGAGCTGTGATTGTGCCACTACACTCCATCCTGGGTGACAGAGTGAAGCCCAATCTCAAAAATAAATAAATAATTTGCCCTTTGAACACAACACGATTTAGGGCCTCCTTTCAGTTTCTTTATCTCTAAAATGGGGATAATAATACTTGTTCTTCCTGACTTCCAGCTTCTCCAGGGAGCCTCACACCCAGCAGATGCTCTGTAAAGTTCTCCCTGAATGAACTGACCAGGCGGGCTGGGCCTGTGGGCCTGTGACAGGGAACAGATGAGCAGAGATAAGGAGTAAGGACAAAAATATCTGGACTCACTTTAGGGGAGTCACAGTTGTCCTCTAGAAATTGCCTGGCACAGACAGGCAGAACTGCCACTGCCAGCCCTCAGTACCAGGGCTTGGGTTGGTGTCTTCTGCTTGTGGCGTTTGAGCGTTTGATGCAGCCTGGTGGGGTCTGGGGTCTGCGTCAAATGATGGGCATCATGGGGGTGCCATTCGCAAGCCGGGAGCAAACCCAGGTGAGGAGCAGGAGGGGCCCGTTGTCAGCAGGTGAAAGCAAGTGTTTTGGGAAGGCCAAAGGGTAGGAGGCAGTGAGAAGTGAGGAGAGAGAGGAGGTGAGGTGGGATGGGGGTACGGGCGCCCCGCCCAGCATCCCCCCCACGGCTGTGCTGAGAAGAATATGGGCTCCGGTGTCCGAGACGGGGGAGGACAGGAGGAAGTG